CCCCAAAACCCCAAAACCCCAAAACCCCAAAACCCCAAAACCCCTTTTGGTGTCGAAAGATTGATGGGAAATAAAGAGTGAAATTTTTAGAATATTTTGTAATAAGAATTTACTTTGGCTAAATCTCGGTTGTACGATCCTTCTTTTCATTGTAGTAGAGGGATAAATAGCATGTCTGGCAGCAGCCCTTTGCGTAATTAGGCTTATCCTTGTGCTTGCACTTCCAAGCAAGCTTTGTTCTTCCATTTCTGTGATAACAGATAGAGCACATTCCTTTGGCATAGTGCTTCTTGTTTGGATGTCCGCAAGTATTGATCTTCTTTTTGATTTTATTTTGATTTAGAAATAACTACTGGAATCTCCTTCAGGCTATTGTCACCAGGATTTACTAAAAATACTTATACTGAGGCTTACCTTCAGGAGGTGGTGACTGAGACTTCTGCTCTAAATTCATTGGAGGTGGGCATACGTTCTGCTTTGATAAAAACTTTTGCATTTCTGATAGAATATAGTGAGGATCCAGGTGGTTATAACAGTGAGGACAACTTATACCACCCTGGTCACTGCATGGCTTCTGTGCTGAATTCGCTTCTGTTTTTCTATATAATTTGTTAGTCTTCTCTAGTCTTATATTTTCTGGCAAGGCTGGATAGCATAATTTTCTAATTATTAGAGCTAGCAGGAATGAGTGAGAATTTGAATATTTTAAATTGTGGGATTCGAAGAAACACAACAAGATCTAGCATTTAGCGATAATGATAGCTAGGACTTACTCTTCTTCCTTAATATTAAGAAGCTTCGGTTGAATTGACTTCTGATAATCAACTAATTTGTCTGGCTTAGAGGGAGTCCCTATTTCGGTGGCAGACTGCTTCGTGCCTGAGTTATCCACGAGAGTGGATAATTTAGAGTTGAGATTCTCTTTTTCCTCCACACAACTATTTAGGTCAATGTGAGAAGCAGGCTCTTGAGGGTCATAGAATGTGAGCTCACCCGGTAATGGCTTCTCCTCCTCTCCTTGTGTGGCATAGTTTTGACTTGGAATGAACTCTTGTGAAGGGCCTCCAGCACTCTGTGAGGCGAAGTAGGCTTGAAGAAGAAACGAGTTCTTTTGATTTAGCTTCTCTGAGAAATCATTGAGGGAGGAGTTTTGAGAAAATATATTCTTCAGTTTATTGTCCATGTAAATTCAAAAATATTATACATAATATATTCAATTTTAAATATCGAAGGCGGGGTTTTGGGGTTTTGGGGTTTTGGGGTTTTGGGGTTTTGGGG